TATAAAAGTAAACTCGATAAAAAAAATTCAGTCAAAAAATAATGTTTTCGGTAAAGCGCTACCTAAAACATCATTTTTTGACTAAATTTTTTTATCGCGTTTACCTATTTAAGTAATTATAACCGGTCAAAATAATGATATTTTCGATCATTTTTTACCGATTTTATTATTTAAAATAATAACAAAATCGATAACGTCTTATTTTAACCTTATATTAAGACACCGCACTCCAGAATTGTCCTTCATAAACTTTACCCGCAGCTGCCAATATGCGTGCTTTTGTGTGTTTATGCACTATAAATATTGAGTGTTTATATTACAACTCAATCGAACATCAAATTCAATAAGACACTACAAAATTATTTGTTAAAACTTAGGGTAAATGATACAAATGATTTCTTATTATAAATGTTATTTTGTTGAGTCATTTAACTAATAAAAGTTATAAAATAATTTATCAATTATAAGACGTTATTTTGTTGAACTTTCAACTATTAAAAGTTACAAAATAGTTATTTGACTATTCATATATTTCAAACTTATTTTTTTACGATCAAACATCGATGATCGTCTGAGTTGGACATTAATATGTTGATTGAGATATGACAAAATAATATTTTAATGTTGTATATTCGCACCATCATTGCTTTCAAGCACTGACTCGATGACATAATGTAAACGGAAAATCGATTTATTAAATATAACTCATACGGTTATGGGATCATATTTTATCATATCTCAGTCAACCTATTAACGTTCAGCTTAGATGACCACAAATATTTTAACATAAAATGATGAGTTTAGAACATATGAATAGTTGGATGATCATTTTATAACTTTTAATACTCTAGGAACTCAATAAAATAACACCATATAGTAAAAAGATTATTTTACAAATTTTAATGGTTAGAGACTTAAAAATATAACACCCTATAATCGTAACTATTTGTATGTTTTACCCCAAAAACTATTGTATAGCTCGTTCATATAAAAGCTTTCACGTTCCAAAAGTTTTTTAAACCAATGAATATTGATTTTGTTGGTTTATACCCGTCTTGTAAATGTAAGTAAAACCGAAGATCCGTTGGATCGTCTCCAAATCCCAAATATCATAGCCATTGCCCTAATTATTTATAGTGTAATGAGGCAGATTTTGTGTCAACTTTTTCCGTCTCATTTGATGAGGAATGAGTAGTCTCTTCTTCGCTTTTCCAGAGAGGCACATCTATAGAAAGACAGGAAAATGGTGTTGCATGCTTTTGCATGTGGGTGGGAAAGGAGGATTTCAGAACACCACATGCCAATGTAACGCCAACAGTTTTATCAGGATTAGCATTTATATATTGAAGATATATAATTTTATGTAAATCAAAATATAATATATTAGTTAAAAATCTCTGAAGCATATGATTAAAAGTCTTCGGTTAACATATTTTCTTTTTCTTATATTATAAGTTCAATATTCATTAATAGTAAATCTTCTTCATCTCTCCTTACTTACGTATGAATTATTCAAACAAATATATAAATTTATATTATATTAGAGTTGTGAAATAATATTTTAAAATATATTAGCTATGAACAGTTTAGTTATGTTTCAATAATGAAAATGGGAGGTGTGATGGATGCTTTTTCATATTATTATTTATAATTGTTTTTTCTCTTTTCGACTTTTCATTCATTTGCATCAAATACATACTGACCATTGTGCTCAGCAACATGACATGGGTCCTCCTCTTCTGCAACCCCTTTTACATAATTCAGAAAATTAAGACCTACATATAAGTCTAGTCTCAATCCTGTTCTGATTGGCAGCAAATTAAGGGAGTTCCCCACCTAAATTATGCTGTATCGCATGTGGAATACACACACAAAAAAGAAAGTTCAATCACTAAAGTAGATCAAATCCCCTCCCACATGGAGAAACTCATTTTGGGATAGTATATGATATACAAGATTGACGCTTTATATAATTATAAAAGCTTAGCCTTCCATCATATTTGCTCATGATTTACATGACGCTCCAAAGAAAGATGAAATTAGAGCACTTTAACAAGATTGCATGACCCAGCATTTACAAATTTGTGAAATTATTTGAGGGTGGAGGTGACCCGAACTCCCATGTGCACTGGGGATGAGTACTTGAAGTTCTTCGGCCTTATCTTGAATTTTAGATTCAAGGGTATGATCACAGGGTACAGAATTTTCTTCTTTATGGGCCTCTATCCACCCTTTTGTGACTAACTCATTGAACTCAAAAGATCGCTTCGCCAGAGCATTTTTTAACCCACGCTTCCATTCACCATCTTTCTCCGACATAAGTGTTCAGTCTTGGACATCTGTTCCCATTTTTTTTCTTTTACGTGTATGGTTCAGTGTCTATGGATGTCGAATTTAACTAAAATTATATCTTACGATTGGTTGCATTGTTTTTATTTATTCGGTGATCGTCGAGTCTTATTGGTTTGAATATTTATTTTTGAATTTTGGCTAATATTTATTCTTTTGTGGAATAAGTGGAAGAGTGGAAATAAAAGGAGCCTGAAGTTAAATTTTGACATAATTTTTTCAATTTGGGCTTATATATAAATTTTATAACTTAATTTTCTGCGTAAAAAATTTCGTCAATTGTTTGGAGATAGCCTCTCGTTAAGTGAAGATCATCTAAAAAGTAACACTTCAATGATTGTTGTTCTTTTTTCTTTTCCCATTGTTTGGGTTTGGTTTTGTCATTCCTATCCAAGGAGCTTCCTTGGTCATCACTTTATTATTTTTCATCATCTTCCATTCTTCCTCATCGTTTTAGGACATGGAAGATTTAAATCTAATCAATTTTCTCTAACAAACTTGATCATTGACTCGATGATAGTTATAGTTTTGGAAAACTCATTAACATCTTTTCATTGTAAGCTCATAATTAGTCCAACGTTACAAACCGTCCATAAAAGTGAAGAAGGTGTCTTTGTCGCTCATATCCGAGACTTGTAGCATGAGCTCAATGAACTGACACACATACTTCATATTGACCTATTATGTTTAAGATGCATTAGCTTTGATCGAGCTTCATCTTTAACATATTATGAGAAAAATAATGTGATATATTCATCAAATTTATTGTAGTTTATTAGGCCTGTAAATGAACTGAACGTTCAGCGAACCGTGCGACGAAAAGTTCGTTTATATTCGTTTATTTATTAAATGAACGAATATGAACAAGATTTTGCGTTCGTTTAATTAAATGAACAAACATGAACTAAGGGATCGTTCGTTCATTTACGTTCGTGAACGTTTGATTATATGTTCGTTTATGTTCATTCATTTATGTTCGAACAAAGCGCAAGTTGAATAAGTTACGAAGATTATTGAAGTTGTTTGGATTTCAAGAAGATTGTTTTTTTGAACAAATTAACTTTAAGACTTTATTATGTTCATATAATTTATTTATGATTTATGTATGTTTTTGTTGTATTCGAACAAATTAACTCTAAAGTTGCAGGTTATATTAAAGAATTTTAAGTTGTTATTATTGTTGTTTACTTTTTTTTACATTCATTTGTTTGTTCGAATAAGTTTTTTTGTGTGTTTGTGTTGTTTGTTTATGTTCGTTCGTTCGTGTTCGTTTATTATTTTAATGAACGGACATGAACAAGCTATATTCCTTAATGAACGAACATGAACAAAAAAATTTGTTCGTTTATGTTCGTGTTCGTTTATTTATTAAATGAACGAACATAACATGAACATACCTCCGTTCGTGTTCGTTCGGTTCGTTTACAGGCTTCTAGTTTATAATTTTCAAATTGTTATATTTAACAAGTGAATCAATTACGAATCAATTAAAGTTTAATGCACTATTTAAACATTTTAAATTATAACAAAATGGATGGATATTTCATATCTCTTAAAAATATCACATCATATTTTAAACTAATATCATATCATTTAATTTAATTCATCTCGTGAAATTAATAATTTTCTATTAAGATATTACAAAAAAATATATTGAAAATATTGAAAATTTATACTCATTTTACAAGTAGAAAATCAAAATGCAATCTCCATGATACAAAAATGCCCTTACAACACTCTTGCTGTTGTTAAATTTTTTAAAATATATTCTTCTTGCAAATCTGATCCGGTGATGAAGAATGTGAAAGGATTTCCACCGTTTCTTCTGAAAACAATATTATTTTTTTCGCTCTCCATGGAACATCCTGTGTAGAGTAGCAGTTGTAGGTGTGGAAAAAGTGTTCCTGAGAGTACTTACATGTCATGACACTATTGGGAAAATTTCCAAGAACATTTTAACAAAACGTTAATTAATGTAATCAAAACACCCATGTGACCACTGGATTTTTCTGTTATCAATACCCCCATTCCTGCTTGCATGCCCGTATTTTTGGGCAAATGAACATTGAATTCAAAAGGGTATCTATGGCTCAATAAATTAATCCACAAAAACCTTGGGGGAATATCGAGTAGAATTTATGAGCATAGGTGTGAACGAGACGAGATATATTATAATATGTTTAAAATCGATTCGGTTAAAGTTTGATCAATACTTAAATTGAATAGATTTAATGTACTTAAAGTTCATATTTGATCTAGAGGTTAAGCTTCAATCGAACTGAGAATGTTTCGTGTTCGAGTCTAACTTTAATTTTTTATTGAGTTGAGATTTATAGTGATAAACTCATGAATTTTCAAATCAAATCAAACTCAATTTTAAAACTTTTAAATTAAATCAAACTTAATAATACATTCTACTAGATTTCCAACGTATTTATGAGACAATGCTAAGCACCTGATAGAGAATGTGGGTCTAATTATTGTTCTAACTGGTAACTTGTTAAAAAATAAATAAAGAGCAAAAAGAGTGAAGTGGTAAGTTGTAAGTTGTAGCCAGTAGCCAGTAGCCAGTAGCCAGTAGCCAAGCGGGAAGGTAAAGGGGCAGCAGCTTTTGCTATATAAACAACGAAGGGAAGTAATCTGCGCTGCGGCTTACAGCAGATTGGTTAGTTGGGGACTTGGGGCAGCCTGAAAATATGGGTCTCTCTCTTTCTCCTTTGGTTCTAATAGTTCTTGCTTGTTCCACTGGTTCTTTTCTTCAATGTAATGGCAACCCCTTTCGCCGCCACCACAGTCGCGTTGCCAAGCATAACTATAGAGATGCACTTTCCAAATCTATCATATTTTTCGAAGGCCAAAGGTCAGGGAAGCTTCCCTCTAACCAGAGGGTTACTTGGAGAAGAGACTCTGGCCTCTCAGATGGTGCTGCCATGCATGTAAATACGCAAAGCCATACTCTCATTTACTTTTAAATAGTCTGTTTCTTTGCATGTTTTATTGGTTTCATTTTCAGGTTGGGTTGTCGTGTGAAATTTTGAGTGTGAAATATGAAAATGCAGGTTGATTTGGTGGGAGGATACTATGATGCTGGAGATAATGTGAAGTTCGGGTTCCCAATGGCCTTCACCACCACCATGCTTTCCTGGAGTGTGCTTGAGTTTGGTGGGCTGATGAAAGGAGAGTTACAAAATGCAAAACAAGCCATCCGTTGGGCTACTGATTACTTGCTTAAAGCTACTGCACATCCAGACACCATTTATGTTCAGGTACACCAACTCTTCAAAATTTCTACTTTGTTTTGCAAACAATGTGGAAGGAAAATTTTAAAGCAGAAAACAGGGGATCTAATATTGGCTCTGGGTTTTTTTGTAGGTTGGTGATGCAAACAAGGACCATTCTTGCTGGGAAAGACCAGAAGATATGGACACTCCGAGAAGTGTTTTCAAAGTAGACAAAAACACTCCCGGTTCTGATGTAGCTGGGGAAACTGCTGCTGCTCTAGCAGCTGCCTCTTTGGTCTTCAGAAGAAGTGACCCCACTTACTCCAAGCTTTTGGCTAGGAGGGCTATCAGGGTAAAAAATATCATACATTCCTACAAAACATTTGTGAAATGATTCCTGCTCTGTTCTAAATTTCCTCAGGAAATTGAAAATTTTCGTTGTCCCTGAGTAACAGGTGTTTCAGTTTGCTGATAAGTACAGAGGCCCCTATAGCAATGGGTTGAAAAAGAATGTATGCCCGTTCTATTGCTCTTATTCTGGTTATCAGGTGCGTTAATGTTACTCAAGATTTGATGTTTTAAGTGTTGTTTGCTGGAGGTAATGTGAGTGTACGCCAACCTAAGTTATTTCTCTGCTTAATGCTAGGATGAATTGTTGTGGGGGGCTGCTTGGCTACACCGAGCCACCAAGAACCCTACCTACCTAAGCTACATTCAGGTAAATGGGCAGATACTTGGAGCTGCAGAGTTCGACAACACTTTCGGATGGGATAACAAACATGTCGGAGCAAGGATTCTTCTTTCCAAGGTTCTATTTCTTTCCTTTCTTGTCCTTTTCTTATCACGTTCCTCGTCATTAAAGTTAAATTGATTCGTGTGGTCCTTGAACTTTCAGGCATTCCTTGTCCAGAGACTGAAATCTCTCCATGATTACAAGGGACACGCAGATAATTTCATTTGCTCCATCATACCAGGAGCCCCATTCTCTTCATCTCAATACACTCCAGGTCCCTACTTCCCATATAGCTTTCTCGAATAGATGTAAAATGCCAATCTTTTTCTTCTTTAATGTTTTTTCTTGCTATAAAAAGGTGGGCTCTTGTTTAAGATGAGTGACAGCAACATGCAGTATGTTACCTCCACTTCATTCCTGCTTCTCACCTATGCCAAGTACTTAACATCAGCCCACCAGGTTGTTAACTGCGGTGGCATCAGGGTCACCCCGAAAAGGCTCCGAACCATTGCCAAGAAACAGGTCATTGTTGGTTCATTTTCTTTTTTGAGTTTATATTTTTTTGAACTTGTAACCGACTTTCATAAATATGTTAATTATCAGGTGGACTATCTGCTAGGGGACAACCCGTTAAAGATGTCCTACATGGTAGGATACGGTCCAAGGTACCCGCAAAGGATACACCATAGGGGCTCATCTTTGCCATCGGTTGCAAATCACCCAGCCAAGATCCAATGCTCCGCAGGCTTTAGTTTCATGAAGTCTCAATCTCCCAACCCCAACATTCTGGTAGGTGCAGTCATTGGTGGTCCAGACCAGCACGACAGGTTTCCAGACCAACGGTCTGATTATGAGCAATCAGAACCAGCAACATACATCAATGCACCCCTTGTAGGAGCGTTAGCTTACCTTGCTCACTCTTTTGGTCAGCTTTAAGGGACCCAATAGTCTCCACCACTACCCCTTTTCAGGGTTATCTGCAACTTTAACATATTTAGGTATCCGTAATGTTTTCTTTTTAATTAATTTAAAAAGTGTTAAAAAGTTATAGTAGTAGTCCTCCGGGAAGTGCACAAAGCGTCGAGGCAAATGGGGGTCCAAACCTTGAAGGCTGAAGCACAATTGTCAAGGATGAACGGGGTTGTGTTTGTTTTTATCTATAAACAGTTTTTAGCCTTTGGTATTAATGGCGTGCCAAGAACGGCGTTTATTTGTAACGGCAAAGCTCAAGCTATAAGAATTTTGGGCTCGAACAAGTAATAGTCCGTTTTGGGGATTTGCTTTTTCTCCTTTCCCATGCTTTCTTTATGTTCTTTTGGAGCTTGTAATTTGTCTTCTCTACTTGCACAACTGTTACACCTCTCTTGTACTAGATGTGTTTTAGTTGGGACCATTAATGTAATAGTGGATAATGTTGCATTGCATGCAGATATTGAATATTATACCGTTGTAGCTTTAATGGGAAAACGATATTTGACCGTTGAAAAAATGTTGTAGGGGGAAAAGTGATAGCCTGATAGGGATAAAAGCAAAAAATTGGTACGAACAAAGAGCTACACGTGATCGACATTGTTAATCAGTGGTATAGAAAAAGCTGGTCCTTTTCAGAGACTGTCAGAACTGAGCTAAGATTAGTCTACTGGACAAACCTTCCAAGTAGTTGGTAATTAGAGCTGGTTGGAGGAACCAAACCTAATTAGATAAAATGGCAGCATTTTCACATTATTCGAAGAGTATTATATTATGATAAAAATATATTAAATTAATGTTCTAACCATTGGTTATTTTTGTTTTCATTGTTTATTTAAGGATATTTTTGAGGTGATTTTCTCGATATATCACCGGTGATCGGTAATATTATCGATCTAACACCGATCAGATTATATTTTCTGATCTAACATCCTTAACAGTAAAGCGAGCCTTCTGCACCGCGTTATACGGTGAGCTGGCGCCACGTGAGTATAGCGCACCCCCTGCACCGCGCTATACGTCACGTATGGGTATAGCGCGGATCAGGTACCACACTATACCTTTACTACATAATTTTATATAGCGTGGGACAGGTACTGCGACATACATTTACTCCTGACATAATTTTATATAGCACGGGGCATGTACCGCATTTTGTATAACTTTCCTCGCTATAAATACCATTCTCCTCCGGTTAATTTCTCACATCTCTCCTCTCAACTTATAAATTAATACAACAATTCCATCAACGAGTCAATAATTCTGGCAATATTCTCATATTTTATTTAGAAGTTCGTGCGATTTTTCGTTATAAGGTAATTTTGTTATAATTTTTTATTATATTTATTGTTTATTATGATTATTTGAAAAAATAGTATACTAATTATTTTCAATTAATTTTTGTATTTGTAAAATTGGAAAGCGGGAGCATACGTCGAAATAGTTTTGCGGTGCAAGTAATAATATTAAATTATATTATTTAATTTATTTACGTTGATGTGTAAAAATTTTATTGTGTTATATGTTCGTTCATATATAATTTATTAAATCAGGTTTGTTTCATTTATTTATTTTTGCAGATATAATAGTGCCGCACTTTTAAACTCAAATAATGGCGCGACTTTTAGCTATTGTTTATTATGATGGTGAAATTCGAGAAGATGAAACCGGCGTTGTTTTCATATCAAATGAGCGTATTAAAATATCATTCAAGAGAAACATAACTCTTGAGGAGCTGATATCGAAGATTTCGAGGAAGATTCATGTTGGAAGTAGTAGAAGAGTGTCGTCGTTGCAGTATAGATTTCCAACATCATTGTTGCCATTAACTTATACAACGTTCGAACTTTCGAACAATGATGATGTTGAAATGATAGTTGAAGCTCAAAGTAATTATTCAGACGCCGCTATTGAGATGTATGTATATTTTGTTCAAGTGCGTGTTGTTCGGGGTCAATCATTAAGCTCCCACTATGGGCTGACTGAACAAGTTGATCAAGTTGACAGCCTGACGACAGTAATGTGTAATGATTTTAATGCCATAATAGGGAGACATTCATCCGCAACTCCTTACGATATGTACCGAGGTAGGTCGACAAACAATCCGTATGGCAACATCGCGTCTAGTTCAAGGGGAAGGCATTCATCTGCAAATCCCTTTGACCTTAATATGGAGATGCCATCGACGCAACCATCTGTGCAGTTTTCATTTGACGCGATGGCTTCAAGCTCTAGGGGGAGGCATTCGACTGCGAGCTTTTTCAATCTCAATGTCGATATGCCTTCCAGTTCAAGGGGAAGGCGTGCAAGTAGTGGGTTCTTCGACCTAAATGTGGAGAGCATGGAGGAACCATCATATCCACCAGAAGAACCGCTTCGTGAGCCTGGTGCGGATGGTGCTGAGACTGGACTATTTATTGACCCAGAATCACCGCAATTCAACTCCGATGATGATGAAGTTCCAGGAAATATGACACAAACTGACCCTCCTGCACACATGTATGAAGCTTATTATGGTGCAATGTACGGGCCAGAATTTGCGGATATGCTCATCTCAGTGACTATGGGTATTACTCATCAATAAATAATGGTGAGTTATCTTTAGGCATGGAGTTTTCAAGCAAAGAAGAAGCGATGATGGCTATCAAAAATTACAATATCCGTAATTCTGTTCAGTCCAGAGTAGACCGCTCCACGACCAAAAAATATGTATGCTACTGTGCCCAGCGTGAAAACGGATGCAATTGGATGGTTCGCGTATCGAAAAGGAAGAGGAAAAACAATAGATGGGAACTAACAGTATACAATGGTCCTCACACATGTTGCGTTGGAGGGGTCAACCAAGATCATCCCAACTTGGACTCTGAAGTGATATGCCAAGCCATCATGCCCATGGTCAAAGCAAGCTCTCATATAGCTGTTGCAATGTTGATTTCAGCTATACAATCGCAGTATGGGTACACTGTCTCCTATAAAAAAGCTTGGTTGACAAAACAAAATGCCATTGTCAAACTTCATGGCGAATGGGATGCATTTTACAACGAACTTCCAGGTTGGTTTAGGCTGGTGCGAACGTTGAATCCTGTGACAATTGTGGACTTCGAAACCTCCTATGCATACCATAATAATCGAGTTCTTCGCGATCGATGCCAATTCTACCAGGTTTTTTGGAGTTACCCAGAGTGCGTTAATGTTGTCAAATACTACAAGCCTGTGGTCCAGATCGACGGGACTTTCTTGTATGGAAAATACAAGCAAGTTTTATTATTGGCAGTTGTCCAAGATGGCAATCGCAACATTCTTCCAGTTTCTTTTGCTCTTGTCGAATGAGAAGATACAGCTTCTTGGGCTTTTTTCCTCCGAAATTTACGGGCACATGTTATCACGAGGGAAAACATATGTGTCATTTTAGATCGCTGAGCTGAGATCAAAGCAGCAATGGAGTCTTTGGGTCCAATGTGGCAACCACTCTTTGTCCAACATAGGTATTGTCTTCGACACATTGCCGCGAACTACCGTGGAAGGTACAAGAAGAATGATGAGCGTCAATTAATTGTGCGCATAGGTAAGTGAAACTTAGCAAGTTTGTTTTCTTTCGATCGTTTTAATTTTGCAAAGACAGCAAGTTAGTAAGTTATATATTTTTTGATCAGGTTACGAACTACTTCCTCGAACGTTTGAATCAATGTTTCAAGAGTTGCGGGAGAAGAACGAGGAAGGATATGATTACATCAGCCTCATCGATAAAGAAATGTGGACGAACGCATATGATGGTGGATATCGATATGGACACATGACAACCAACTTGGCAGAGGCAATCAATTCAACCTTAAAGGGTGCACGTCACCAGCAATCTGTATCTGTCTTGCCGCGTCTATCTAAGCTATGCAACTCGTCCATATTGCGAGATGCTTCCGAAATTGGTTGAAAACAACCAAACTGTCGAAGCACGCGATCAGTGGAGTGCCACTCGATGGTCGCATAACAATCAGAGGGACCATCGCCATCCAAATATCTAATGGACCCCTCAACTCAGGTGGGATCACCGCACTCACATCATCAGTAGAATATGACACCCATTCAAACTAAAACAAAAAATATATAATTTTTATCAAAATAATAATCTAATTATATAACTATAATCTAAAATCGATTTTTAAACATTAAAATTCATACCTGTGTGCCAGCTTTCTGATCGATTAAGCACCCTAATCTTTTCTAAATCATTAGGTAGCTCGTGATGATTTTTCTATCAGTAGACCACCTATTCAAGGGAAAAAATTTGTTATACGCTGTATAAAATTATTAATATACAAAATCAGTTTTATAATTACCTCAGAAGTAGTGGAAATATGAATGGGTTCTTCACAACGGGATATAAAAAGGGCAATCGATACCATGGTCAAGACTGCAGCAGCAGGAGACATCCGCCGATAGCATTACGCCTGTAGTCAGTGGCTCCACACATCTCTCTGAAGCAAAGCCAAAACTGCCGAGCCCCAACTGAATGATCCGGCGAGACGAAAGTCGCTAAGATGTCGCAACCACATGCAGTGAACTAGGTTGCGCGATTTATCCGGCATCAGCAACCCTCCTATCAGCTGCAGTATGCATGCCCGTGCATACATCTTAACCTCATCCTTAGATGCGTCTGCGCTCAACTCCCGAAAATTAGCATCTAAACAATTTAACGGTATCCTACCTCCGATAAAATTTTCTGGGACACGTCCTAGACTATCCCGACACAAAGCAGTCCAAGAACCGGAAGCTATCCCCGTTATCACATCCTCAAGTGTGATTGTGCACTCTCCGCACGGAAGATGGAATGTGTGGGTCTCCGGCCTCCACTGCTCTACTAGGCAGAAATCAGGCCTGACTCTATCTTACATTGACCCTGATATCTACCTATGTAACCGAATCCAACCTCTACTAAATACGGCAAGACACAGCTGTGTATCACTAACTTAAGATTCCCAATAAAAGGATCTAATACACGATCCTTCTCCTAAAAATAAATAATTACAAAAATTAATTCTTAATCTAATAATCATGCATTAAATGAATCAACTAATTATTAATAATAATTTAAATTAAATTAAACCGTTAAAATGTTACCGTATCAACAAAGTGTCGAGATATTTAATTCTTAATCTAATAATCATACATTAAATAAATCAACTAAATATTACTAATAATTTAAATTAAATTAAAACGTTAAAATGTTACCGTATCAGTAAAGTGTAGAGATATATGATTTCCATCTGAGCGAAGTAGACTGCCTTCCATTATATATATGCAAAAAAATTATATTAGTAAAATATTAAATAAAGTAAAAACATAATAGTAAAAATATTATAAAATATACCTTAAAAAGTGAGTATTTGAGAGAAATTTAGAGAATTTGGTGTGATAAAAGTTATTGAGGATGAGGTATTTATAGGGAGGATGGGTCGGTGATTAGGGGTATAGCGCGACCCCTGCTCCGCGCTATACCCCACGTATCAAATATACAGGTATAGCGTGGTGCAAGGGGCACGCTATACCTACGTGGCGCCAGCTCACCGTATAGCGCGGTACAGGGGGCGCGCTATACCCCACGTGGCGCCAAATCATCGTATAGCGCGGTGCAGTGGGCGCGCTTTACTGCTAAGGGTGTTAGATCGAGAAATATAGTTGACCGGTGTTAGATCGATAATATTACCGGTCACCGATGATATATCAAAAAAATCGCCTATTTTTGAATTATTTTTAGATATAAAACATAAATATTACATAGATACATGATTCTAAGTTTCATTTTTGAAACTTAAATATTTAAGTTTAAAAATTAAGACCAAGATATAACTTTCAGTTTTTACATAAATATTGGTTTTTTAGTTTAGGAGAGTTCGACGTTCATACGTGTAGAGAATGATTAGCACTTTAAAATGTCGTAGTCAATTACTTGTTGTAAAAATTAGAAATTATAAGTTTGAAGTTTCATTTAATTAATGATACGTTTATGCAAAATTGAAAAGGATATTAATTTATTTTGAAATTAAAATTTAGCCAAGTGATGATTTATCTGCTGTTGTGTCTTTTTCCTGGAATTTGTTTACAGATAGTGGAAGGCTTATTAATCTATTTTGCTTGCGTAATTCGCTCCATAGTAGATTCTGGGGAAGAGCTCCATGTCCCTTCTGAGCTGTCTTCTTCTGTTTCTGTAACTTCTTCTTCTGCTTCTGAAAATGTTGATCGCGTTGGCGAATATTCATCTTCCGTTGAAACAAATGATTGCACTCGTGAATATTCTTCTTCATCTTCTTCCCCTGTTGAAAATGATGATGATTGCCGCGGTGAGTCTTCTTCTTCCTCCTCTGAAAGTCTTGATAGCATTGGTGAATATTCTTCGTCTTCTTCTGTTGAAGCTGATGATTGTAATGGTGAATCATTACCACCGCCATCAACATCTTCTTCTTCTTCTGAAAATGGTGATTCCATCGGTGAATCTTCTTCTTCATCATCCTCTCCACCACCATCCTCCTCCTCCTCCTCCTCATCATCATCATAATAATAATCTTTTTCTTCTTCTTCTTCTGTTGAAGTTGATGATTGCAATGGTGAATCATCATCACCACCAACACCAACACCATCTTCTTCTTCTTCTTCTTCTGAAAGTGGTGATTCCATTGGTGAATCCTCGTCTTCATACTCCTCCCCCTCCTCCTTATCATCATCATCATCATAATCTTCTTGTTCTTCTTCTACGGTTGAAAATGACAACGGCCTTGGCGAATGTCTTTCTTCACCATCTTCTTCTTGCGTTGAAAACGACGATTGAATGAGTGGATTTTCTTCTGCATCATCTTCCACCGCTGAAAATGATGATCTGTCTTCTGATAATGACAAAGATGGTTCTTGCAGTGTACACTCTTCAACCGTCGACCGTTCTACATCTGTACCGACTTCCCCATCCAGTATGTCAATGTTTTCCATCACCAAAGTATCATCGCTCTCATTCTCGAGCACGTTCATTGCACCATGCTCAGTTTCTGATCGAGAACTCTGGTCAACATCACCGTAACCACCAGTTAGTCCAATTGTTTCTTGCTCTCTATCATTTATTGCAATCTCTAGGATAACAATATCCGATGCACCATTGTTTGTGGAACTGCAAATAAATGATCATCCAAATTACATTATTTACAAAAGAAACATGCAAGCGATAGTCTAAGAAATTCGCAAATGCAACTTAACAGTTCATATAATCATACAATCAAGAGTTTCGCATGTAGAACTTGGTGGAACCATATCAATGAAATACTCACAGTGAATTTTGATATGGCTTTCCTTTCCATCTTCTGCCAAATTGATTCTCTCCGTAAAAAAATTGTAATCTTTCCCCACCAGGCTTGCAATAGCCAAGGTTCCACCCAACACAGCAACCCTTTCCATTCTGCTGGTACCAGCACCATCCCTCTTGCGCTTCTCCATGTTTATTTTCTTGAAGACTAATTGGTTCAATATTTTTGGTTTTGTATTCTTGGCTTTAATCTCTCGCAAAGGGATACTCTTCTTGAAGAGGGGAAGATGGGAGCTTGAAGCATAGATTATTTCGTTGGGAGGCTAAATAGAATCTTAATTTGCTTCACGCCCGGAGGTTTGCTGAGATTCCATAGTTTTCACCTCGTAAGACGATACGTAACCCAAGAGAATGTCGCTGATACAAGTTATCATCTAAGAAGGAAATCCAAGCAACTGAGACCACATTAGAAAATCCAAAAAGATGGAGACCGAAATAGACAAGCTTAAAGGAAACAACGGTGCAACTGCACGACTATCAAAGCTACAATTTTTTTTTTTGAAATTATCAAAATATTCAAACTTAAGGAAATGAAAGCTGAAATAAACAAGCATTAGCCTTGTATTTGCTTGTTCTCTCCAATATAAATAATATGTATGAGCCTGAGGTATTGAGATTACACTTCAATTAGTTGCAGTTTGGCAGTTCTCTTTATGTTTCTTGATACGTTTACGCAAGCTGTAGAAGATGATTCCCAATTTTCATGTTCAAGTAAAAGATAACAACTTAAACAAAAATGATTCTTTCCTTGTATGCTTTATTTCAATATCCATCGGGGATTGATTTAGCCTCTTGCCGTGGAACGAAGAAGAAAGGCCCAACGGTAAACAACTTGATATTCTTATCACGCAGGCGACTGAAGATGTCGATAGGAGCACCGGAAATGCCTTTTTTTAGTTGAAAAAAGGTACATGGCCGCCTAGCTTCCCGTTTTATCCACTAGCAGCATATCCTCAGCTTTTTTAGGGCATTCTTCCAGAAATTAGAATCTTCATGGTGTTTCCACATCTTCTTGGAGACAAAATCGGCGACTCGATTGGCCTCTCTAGGTACGTGATGCAATTCTACAAGCCAGTTCTTAAGCAAAAATGGCTGTCCCTTTTTCCCATATATATGGGTAAGGGGGAGGTAAGATAGTAGGCTACCCCCAACACCAGGTTGAGAGCAGCTTCCGTAAGAGACTTCTGAATTATGAAATGCCCTCCATGGGACTTGATCCCACGACCTCAAGCCAGTTCTTAAGCATTTTCTCAATGTGTTGTAGAATGGTAAATTTCCCGTGTGTGCTCGATCTATTCTTTATTAGATTGATAGCTTCACTGTCGTCTGTTTCTAAAATCACGCTCCTTTCTCCCCTCAACCAAGCAATTCGTAATCCCTCATGGATTCCCCATAACTCTGCTTCTAAAATAGAATATATCCCTATCTTTTTCCCAAAACCTCATCACCAATTACCATTGTAGTCCCTTGCAACAACCCCGCACATATCTTCTCCATTGATCTGTCTTTTGGTTTCATCTGTGTTTATTTTGCAGTAATTGATTGTTGGTTTTTGCCATTTGCATCGAGCATTATCTCTGATCTGTATACTTCCAGCATTAGTAGTATCAAAATTCTGCAAATCTTGGGTCAGTATACTAGCTTGCTGAATAATCGAATCCCTTTCAATCATCTCAGGATCGAAAATCATTTGATTTCTTCTCTTTCATATGTACCAGATTACTGAGCTGAAAAAACTTGGCCACCCCGCGATTCTTGGCGACGGTGACTGAGTTTCTTCAAGGTTTTCAATGATCCAGTCCTTGAGTCTGCAGTTCAGAAACCTGTCTATCTTCTGGGGGATTGCCATTGAATTAGGGCAATACCTCAGCACGTGATTAATATCTTCAACTTCATAATTGCACATAGGGAAACTTGCATCCATAGTCATATGTCTTCGAGCTCTTTCCGAGTTAGTCAAAATACTATTTCTTCCAATTAGCCATAGGAAAGTTTTGACTCTGGGAATGTTTTTGTGCTTTGCTATGATGCCCCAAATCTTATATTCCATATCATTATTAACATTTGCAATCCACTTATATACATATTTGATTGTGAAGACCCTATTCTCCGAGGAAATCCATCCCAGGGAGTCTTCAATGTTCTCATCCACTGGAGGGGGAGTGGCTTTCAGCATATTAATGGCTTGAGACTGCAGCAACAACGTAAGTTTGTTAAAATCCCAGTTACCATTTTGGTTAATCAATTCCTTTACTTTTGACTTGTCCTTTTCCACCTCCAACGGTTGGTTGCAGAATCTGGACAGAGGGCCATTATGATCAAGCCATATGTCATGCCGGAAGCTAATATGATTACCATTTCCAACATTCCAACAAATGTTCTGCTTGAATTTAGTCCACAAAGAACATATGTGATTCCATAGAGGTGATCCTCCCCTTTTTTGAAGCTCTTCAGGTATAATTTCTTTCATTTTGTATTTGCTTCTCATTACCTGTACCCATAACAGATTAGTTCGGTTAGTAAGTTTGTAAGCTATTTTAAAGATGAAAGCCTCATTTTGGAATCTAAGGTTTTTTAACCCTTGACCCCCTCCTTTAATAGGTTTACAAAGATTATCCCAGTTCACAAGGTGTACTCCCTTTTGCTCATTCAAGTTTCCCCAAATGAAATTTCTTGTAAGTCTTTCAAGCTCATTGCAAGTTCCTTTGGGGATTAAAATTGATTGCATGGTGTATGCAGGGATCGAGTTGAGGACAACCTTGGCAAGAATGATTCTTCCAGCTAGTGATAGAGATTTAGGTTTCCACCCTGTCAATTTGTCCTTCACTCTTTGAGTGATGTTGATGTAAGTTAGTTTATTAATTCTGTTGTGCAGTAGGGGAACTCCCAAGTAATTTCCAAGGTTCTCAATCTCCTTTATTCCAATCAAATTTGAAATAATGGTTATGGTCTGGGCATTGACATTTTCGGAGTAGTATATATTAGATTTCTCGAGACTAACTTTCTGTCCCGAGCTATTGCAGAATTTGTTGAGTGTGTTCTGGATAATTCCAATTTGAGTGTTGTTTGCTTCCACAAATAATATGAGGTCATTTGCAAAAAAAATGTGAGATATGTCAGGTCCATTTCTAGATAATTTAATAGGTTTCCACCTCCCTTGATTTACTATTAAAACAATCTCTTGAGCTAATCTTTCCATGCAGATGACAAAGAGATAAGACGAAAGAGGGTCTCCCTGTCTAATGCCCCTAGAAGGCTGAAAGGGTTCAGTAAGTTCCCCATTCCAATTAATTTGAATAGTACTGAAAGTAATGCAGTTCATAATTGCCACAATAATTTTATTTGGCAGCCTTATCCTTTCGATGCCATCTTTAATAAAAGACCACTCTAATTGTCATAAACTTTTTCAAGGTCTAGTTTGATGGCCAACCAACCTATTTTACCTTTCTTCTTCTTCATCGAATGATCACTTCTTGAGCAAGGATAATATTGTAAGTAATAACCCTGCCCGGGATAAAACTAGTTTGACTGTTGGAAATCATAGTAGGGAGCATAGGCTTAAGACGGTTGGCAATAACTTTAGTAATTATTTTATAGATTACTTGGCAAAGACTTATAGGTCTAAACTGGTTTATTCTCTCAGGCTTAGGCACCTTAGGGAGTAAAACAAGACTAGTTCTATTTAAGGCTTCCTCAATCTGACCACCATTAAGGCGCTTCTTGATAAGAGAACACACTTTTCTCCAACTATATCCCAATTCTTTTGAAAGAAATTTGCATGGAATCCATCAATTCAGGGCGCTTTGAGAGACCCATACTGCTGAATCGAGCTATAGTTACTTGAGGGGATATAGCGAAAGGGGTTTATATATTTTTCTGAAGAGAAGGGACAATCTTATCCATTAGGATATAGAAATGATTACAGTAATGGGAGAGACGGTGCACGATGGATTTGGTGTGCACCAAATAACCAACCATGCATGCATTATACACAATCTAATTATCTAAATACGACGTGCAAAGAGCAGCGAATATTTCGTTTAGAAAATTGTACTAATTTAATTGGTATTTGTTTTACCGACATTAGCATTTTATACATGATAGATAGAGGGAACGGTGGGAGGTGGTTCCACTCTTTATTTAATAAGAACTTATATATATAATTTTATCTTTACTTTCTTTTTCTCGGACTAGATATTATAAGACGCTTGTAGTCATTAAAGATAGATTACGATTGAATTATGATCATATCAATTTAATAACGAGTAATCATCATTATATATAATTTTACGTTAATATTGATAGTATTTATCCTTCATTGTTGACAAGTGTTATTTGTATTTATCATTTGTTTGATTTGTTTTGTTCCGTTTTTAACCCTATTTTTATGATATTTTTTAATTCTTGTGTGTTTAGTTTGTGCACTTCGATAGTTTTAGGAGAAATTTTAAGATTACATGATTAGCTTATTATTATTATTTTTATAGAATTATTTTATAAATTTAAGATATTTCCTCCTTATTTAATAAAAAGTTATATATATGAATAAAAGAGTGCTTGCAACTTGCATTGTAGAAGTTGAGGTTAAAACATGTATACCGTATGATGTGTTAATTTATTTATATTACAACTATTTTAGATTCACCGGTGACCATTGCAAAATGAAAATAACATCAACAAGTATTTTTCTCCATTTTTTTCAAATATTATGTAAATGTTTTGAAATTATTAGGCTGATTTTCTAAATCTATAATTGGGTATTTAGTTCAGCATGATAAGCCCAATGGGTTCTTTTCTTAACTAAAATTAGGCCCAAAAATAATTGGTTTTAGGCTAAGGCGTTCCAAACAGCTAACCCGGTCCATTAAAAGTGCAATTAAAAAAAACCGACTTCTAACCCGGTCCAAACAGAAGTACCAGGCGTCGCAAACCCTAGGGTTAATGCGGAGCTCATATAAATTGACGCTATCACGTATTTCTTATCCTTCTCCGCTACCAAAGAGAAAGAGAGGGAGAAAATGGTTTCTCTGAAGCTCCAGAAGCGGCTCTCAGCCAGCGTTCTAAAGTGTGGAAAAGGAAAGGTTTGGCTCGATCCAAATGAAGTCAACGAAATCTCCATGGCCAACTCCCG